GGTTTAGGAAAAAAAAAAAAAAAAAAAAAAAAAAAAAAAAAAAAAAATATATATATATATATATATATATATATACATAAATACTGTATATACTTGCAGCAAATATTGTGCCTAGTGCTTACCTGGTTAAGTACAGACTGTGGTGCAGAATGAATGGGCAATCAATCAATCAATCAATCAATAAAGACTACTTCTAGCCGGAGAGACTTAACATGCTCCAAAAAGGCTAACCAAATTCTTGAAAATTTAACCATGGAACCTCGAAGACTGTGTTTAATTATTTCCAATTTAACAAAGAATAAGGCATCTTTTATCCACTGAGTACGGGAGGGGGGTGAAGACGTTTCCAAATCATCAAAATACAGCGCCTCGCTAGTATTGAGAGAAAAGCTACTAACTGGTTGACTTTTATCTTCTGTATAATTTTAATTTAACATATGGTAACACTTTATTTAGATAGTTCACTTTAGACATTCTATTAACAGTAAGTAACTTTGCAACTACATGTCAACTAGCAGTTAGTAGAGTATTAGTAGACTGTTTGCTTAATATCCAGAAACTGGATATAAGGGTTCACTGACTAATGCCCTATAGCATTCAGAATTTACTGAAGGCTAGTTTTGTCTAATTCACATATGAACCACTGATTTGAAACAGATTCGTACAAGCTTCAAAGCTTCATGTATCGAAAGCACCCATATATTAATGCATCTCATAAATTAGTGCCATGTTTTTGAGATAGTATGACAAGTTAAAACAACTTTAACTTTTAAAGATGCGTCCTGACATGCTGAGCTCCCCTGTACTGCCTTGCCTGTTTTTAAATGCAAGAACGTGTTCTGCCCAACAAAACCTATTAGTTATTTCTTGCATTTAGGGGCAGACACAGATATAACTAACAGGCCATCACTTTTGCCAAAGTTGGTTTTGTTCTCACCAATTTTTGAAAGCTACTTAAAAATAACTTGCCGAACACAAAAAAAGCATCTCTAATCTGTAATTGTGATTTACTTCACATAGGTAATAAAAAACGTTTTTATTGCCTGATGAATTGCCCTGATGTTGTGTTGTCCTATACATCAGCTACCTGATGTATAAACCTTCCCTAGGCCTATAAAGATAGATAAATAAATACATAGGCCACACTGCAAATTTTAGTGTTCATTTCTGATTGCTGGCACAGGTCAGATTACCATACAGAAGCCTAAACTGTTTGATTAAAAGAGTCAGTATTTTCATAATGTACTTTTTATTTAATTTTGTTAGTACACCTCAAATATGTGTGAAAGTAATAAAGTTAAAAAAAGTCAACATGTCATTCTTTTTTTCTAGATCGCACATTAGACCAAAATTCATAATCAGGCACCATTCACAAAAAATATTCAGAAAATTTCATGTAGAAGGACTATAATTGGTAATTTACGCATTAAAGTAAATTGCGATTGAGTTGATATGATTTATATGTAACTATAAAACATTCAAAATACTAAATAATTATTTAGTTAAAGGGTTAGTTCACCCAAAAATTAGCCTGTGTTTTACTCACCCTCCGCGTAACGCTTCCGCATACGACAGTCAGCAGAAGTGAGTGAAAAGTGTTTATTGCGTTTGAAATATGGATATTTTTCTTACAAAAACACATGGATTCGCTACAGGAGGCCTTTATTCATGCCCCGGAGCCATGTGAGGCACGTTTTATTACGGATGTGCGTGCTTTATTTAATGTGTTTTGGACTGTTGAACATCTTTCTTATCTCATCTTTCCCCTTTCTCCCTTATTTGGATTTTATCTGTATACAACTCCTCAAATCAAACAATGACATCCTTTACCATCCTCGTGACTTAAACAGAGTTGACACTGAGTAAAGTATAAAAGCAGGGCTCTTTCTGGAACTTCACAAAATATTCCTCTGAGATTCTGAAGGTAACAATCTGAAAACTAAGGTGAGTTTTTGGCACAGAGACCTACTGAATAGCCTTTCGACTTAAAGTATCTTTGTACTTTGTAATTGAAATAGCCTACATTGATACGCCACATGTGCAACACATAAATGCAGACATTTAACTTTCCTGCTTATTAATTTTCAGGTTCATCATGGCAATGCTGAGAAGTCTGCTGCTTCTTTTGATTGTGTTCTCCATGGGGAATGCAGAAGGTAACCAAGATTTGTAAAAACCCTTGTTATTCCATTCTAAATGCTTGTATTGCCAAACCTTTGACGTTTCATGAAAAGGGATAGCAATGATTATGTACATGACCTAAAGAGTCTAAGTGTATGTATTTGTAGCACATAATCACACAAACATAAAATAAGCTTCATAAAATAATAACATTAAAAACTTTCTTCCTTTGAATGTTAAAAGAGCCCTAACATGTATTTACTGGATACAGTTGATATAGTTGAAAAATGCCCCAATGGATGGATAAACTTTGGAGTCCGATGCTACAAGTTCTTCTCTCAGGGGGTCAACTGGATCACAGCAGAGGTAAAGAAAACTGATACCGAACAAATAATTAATCAGACCAGACTTTGTTTGAAAATGACTTAAGTCACTTAGGCTATGCTTTATGCTAAAAAGTTTTTTTATTATGTATTAACATAAAAAATATCTCTTTAGAGAAGCTGTCAAAGTCTGGATGCAAATCTTGCATCTGTGCACAGTAAACTGGAAAATGATCTTCTGCTGAGTCTGTTGCCTTCTTCTACCACACATTCTTGGCTTGGTGTTCATGATGGTGAACAAGTAAGTTAAATTGTGTGGCCTAAAGAGACTTGTTTATCAACAATGAAATGTCTTTAAGAAGATTTCAACATAAGACAAAGTTTCTAATGAAGATGGTTTGACTTCTTCAAAGCTGAACTTAATTAGCTGCTTACTGGAGTCTGAATACAGTAGTTGTAGCGTCTGAACCACTCAAACGCAATATATATTTTGTTAGCTAGATTTAACAAATACTCTGTAACACCCCAGGAAGCCGAACAGGCCCCTGGTTCCATGGTAACCCTGACACCCGATACATTTACGACCTCCTGGAATTTAGGTGAAGAAAATCGCTTCCTTGCCCATAGGGAAAATCCACAAGGGAAGGACTTTTCTTTGCTAATTAATTAATAGGAAAACCTTTCTTTGAATGAACACACATGATCCTTCAGGTCATTGGGTATATTATTGTCATTGTGTATTTTGTCTTTGAAATTGTATACTGTTATGCAGGCTTATAATCGAAACACACTCCTGTCAGCTTACATATATATAACTCTACCATGTTTAGTACCTATGAATTCGTATTCGGAGGATCTAATTGAGAGTGTATATTGTATGTTTACACCTACGCAACATATTAGTGTTCTAAGATATAATAGATAAATAATTTTTATCCGAGTTTCATATGCAAATTACCATGCTTTCAAACAAAGGGCCATAAAAACACCCCAGTATCTCACAACTCCCACTTGGGATTCCGGACTTCCTCATTGGACAAGCCCATCTTGAGAGGCATGAATCTTTGCAGGCTTTAAAGGCCACACTTCATATGACCCGCAGTGGACTCTTATAATCATTCTTTTACTCTTTAGGAAGGAGAGTGGACATGGAGTGATGGAACTCCATTTGACTATAACAACTGGTGCTCTGAGGAACCTAACAATGCTGGTGTTGAGAACTGTGTGGACATCAGCTGGACCAGTAAGTGTTTTTTTTTTTAATCCTTTCAATAATAATTTACAATGCTACAATTTCATATCATACAGTAACAAGAAATGGCTTAAATATATATTTTATTTTGATTCTATAACATCACTATTATGATCAGAATAACTTTCATATTTCCACCCTACAGCTAACCGTTGCTGGAACGATTTGCCGTGTTCGTACCAAATAGGCTATACGTGTGCTAAAAGCCTGTGAGATCATATGCAGTTACTTTGATTGTACTACATTAACATTTTCTGTTCTTATCTTTCCAAAAAAAAAAAGTTTAATCTATTTTCAATACCTTCTCTAATACACTCCTCAAATCAATAAAAGCATCAATAAAAAGCAAATCATGTGTGTTGTGGCGTTAAATCAAATTCATGTATACAAATATTGTGTAGCAACGTTGGTTATTATTAGAATGTCATTAAAATATGTCATCATCAGGGGCACACAGCTTCATCACTGACAAACACTAAAAGACATATGTATGTTTTGTTTGCTGAATGGATTGGATTGTAGGCAAATATTCACCTCACCCAGAACTCTTTTTTTTATAAAACAACATGTTACGCTTACTAGTATTTCGGTGTGAGAAACCTCCTCAAATGATTTAGTGAATGAGTGAACTGTATAAATAAATCAAATTGAATCACAAACAATTTCAGACATTTCTGTAAACCTGTTTGAATAATTAATAGTGAATAATTCAGTATTCTGGCATTGCAACTTTGATTCTAAACAGCTTATAGAAAACACAAAGGACATGACTGTTGATATATTTTCAGTGAAAATGATTCTCAGGTTTATTTATCAGTAATGTTTTACTAGGGTTCAGGTCTAAAAAGGGAATTATTTTTAATGGTTTATTTTTGACATTTTATCTTATTTACATGAACACGCTTTAACCAATAACGTGATAAAATGAAATTAAAATCTGTAAATTATATAAAGTAATAAATGAAAGTTAACTCACTCTCCTGTCATTTCAAGAAATGCATGATGTTAGCAATGCAAAGAAGCACAAAGATGGAACTTGTTGGGTGCACCCAGAGCCATTAAAAAACAAAAGCGAAACAGCAGTGATGAAGAGCTAAAAGGGATGATAAATTACCTTACAAATTGGGTATTTCAAAACCACAATAAATCATGTGACTGGCTCAAAGACCTGGAGGGCAAAACATCCATAGAACTGCAGCACAAGCCTGTCAATTTTCCATCTGTTTCCAACCTCTCAAAACAATAAAAACAAAGATATGTGAACAAAATGCTAGTTTTGGCCGTTTGCAATCCATATAAGTCACCCACCGCTATACTTCAATCACTAAAAACAGCGGCACATTCTAAAACTTTTAATGTGAAAAACACCTAAAGTGCCTTATTAAAACAGTGATATTAAAAGATCAAATTTAGTGTGACACTTTGCACATTGCGTTTATATTCTGGGTTCATCTGCTTGCCGGTACAAATTTATGCATCATCAAAAAGGTGTATACTGAATGTGACCTTTAATATCAGTGTCTTACTACATTACTACTTAATACCAACCTCGTAAAAATAATTGGCGGTCAGTGGAGGAAAGCCTTGTTTTGCTCTCCAGCTGGGAGTTCCTGTCAGAGGGTGACGTCTGTAACAGCAAAATTGCCCAGATGGGAGATAAACCAAATGTGTGCTGTTGGAGAAAAGACTGCACAAGAAACAAAACTTCCCCTGATTTAATAAAAAAAATATTTAAGTTGCCATTACACTCATCCGCATACATGGGGTTTGATTGAGTAAGAAAAAAAACATGCAAAGAAACATTCAACTTAGGTCACATCCTGCTCTAACACATCACTTCCTGTTTGTTGCTGCCGTGTGTTTTGAGTTTGAGCTCCGTCAAGTTCATTCTTTGTCGTCTAATTTTTTATCTTAAAATCAATTTTATACACCATCATTTTCGTTTCTATAACGTGTGAATATATCCCCTATCGTATTCTACAACAAAAACAATCAGAGCGCCTTGTTATCACTAGTTTTATTTTGATTTCCCGAGTCCGCTATTAGCAAATAGCTCGCTAGCATCGCCAGCGTGGTTGCCGCTAATCTCGCTTACATTACTAATACTCTATTCACACACATTACCATTGTTTTACTCACTGTTACTTGCTTTAATGGCGGATGTGTGTCTACCTTTGAGTGCAGGTGAGGACACGTTCAAGCTGCATTCGGTGCAGCTCGAGCTGGAGGCCGTGGAGAAGCAGATCCGCGACCTGGTGGAGAGGCAGACCCAGCTGAGAGAGTGAGCCGCGCTGGAATCATCCCAGGCTGACACTCACAAGTCCGAGGTAAGTATACAGCGCG